ATCCTGACCTCAAAATATATCGCTAGTCCTTCAGCGTCGCTGGATCAAAATCCTAGAACTCCCTCTCTGGTATCAAGTTAGATAAAGGAGAGCCAGTGGATGTGATCTATTTGTATTTCCAGAAGGCCTTTGACAAAGTGCTGCACAGGAGGCTGGTAAATAAGATAAGAACCATGGTGTTAGGGGCAAGGATAGAGGATTGGCTGACTGATAGAAGGCAGAAAATGGGGGTATAATGTGATCTTTTTCATGTTGGCAGCCAGTGACTAGTGAAATTCCACAGGGGTCAGCGCTGAGACCACAACTATTCATGTTATACATTAACGATATAAACAAGAGAACTGAGGGCATTATTTCTAAGTTTGCAGATGACACAAAGATGGGTGGATGGACAGGTAATGTTGAGGAAGCAGGGAGGATGCAGAAGGACTTGGGCAAGCTAGGATAGCGGGCAAAGAAGTGGCAGATTTAACACAATATGGGAAAGTGTAAGGTTATGCACTTTGTTAGGAAGAATAGAGATCAATTTTCTAAACAGTGAAGGGCTTTGGAAATCTGAAGCATAAAGAGATTTAGTTCAGGATTCTCTTAAGGCTAAATGCAGCTTCAGTTGGCATTCAGGAATGCAAATGCAACAGTATTTATTTGGTTAGCTAGTAGTTGGTATTCATTTCAAGTGGGCTAAAATACAAGAGCAAGGATGTACTGCTGAGGCTGAGTAAGGCTCTGGGCAGACTGCATTTGGAATATTGTGAGCAGTTTTGGGTCCCATATCTAAGGAGGAAAGTGCTGGCAAAGGAGGGGTCCTGAGGAGGTCCACTAGAATGATCCCAGGGACAAAGGGCTTATCATATGAGGAGCAGTTGAGGACTCTGGGTCTGTACTCGATGGAGTTTAGAAGGATGAGGGGAAATCTGATTGAAACTCACAGAACACTGAGAGGCCTAGATAGAATGGACAAGGAAAAGATGTTTCCACTAGAAGGAGAAATTAGGACCCAGGGGCACAGCCTCAGAGTGAAGGGACAACATTTTAGAACTGAGATGAGGAGGAATTTCTTCCGCCAGAGGGTTGTAACTCTGTGGAATTCATTGCTGCAGAGGCCAAGTCATTATGATAGATAGGTTCCTGATTAGTAAGGAGGTCAAGGGTTACGGGGAGAAGGCAGGACAATGGGGTTGAGAAACATATCAGCCATGAGTAAATGGTGGAGAAATCCTAATGGGCTGAATGGCCTAACCCTGCCCCTCTATCCCATGGTTTTATAGTCTTATTGTGGCTCTACTAAAGCATGTGACCTGCAGTGGTTCATGAAGGCAGCCTACCACCACCTTCTCTGGAGCAATTAGGAATGAAACTTGTCAGTGACACTCACAATTCATGGAGGGATATTACAAAACAATTTATTGAACTTCCTCCTAAGTTTGCAAACCATACCCATCTTCTTCATCAATACGAAAGTCTGTGGAAGATCTACCCTCCATTGTATATGTTGGGATTAGCATGTGGAAGTTAACATCAGACAAATAATCCATTTTCCATTCAGAATTCCTGAACTAAATTACCAGTGTGTTTTGCCAAATGAATCTACATTTAAAAGGTAAAATCTCAGAATGGAAATGAAATATTTGGCAAATAGCATCTTTTCCACAAAGTTACAAAAATACAAGAAATACTGAAAGCATTAGCTTTCTCCAGAGAATAAATGGAAAAATTAATTACTTGACACGTTGCCCTGCGGCTTATTTGGGAGAGAGGTGTTTGGCAATTACACAAGTTCAATTTTCCAATGCTGTTTCTCCAACTTCTGATCAAGAGTCACCTCATTCAGACCAAAGCATTTGGCTTCATTGCAGCTTCCTTCATCATAGAAGCCTATGGTGACCAATTATCTCCTCACTCCCCAACAAGGAACAAGTCAGGAGTGTGATGGAATACTCCCCACTTGCCTGGATGGGTGCAGCTCCAACAACACTCAAGAAGCTCAACACCATCCAGGACAAAGCAACTCGCTTGATTGGCACTACATCCACAAGCATCCACTCCCTCCACCACTGATGCTCAGTAGCAGCAGTGTGAACCATATACAAGATGCACTGCAGAAATTCACCAAAGTTCCTCAGACAGCACCTTCCAAACCCATGACCATGTTCTCCTCCAAGCCACCCTCCATCCTGACTTGGAAATAAATCATGGCCATTCCTTCAGTGTCACTGGATCAAAATCAAAATCCCAGAATTCCCTCCCCATTGTCAATGTGGATCTACCTACAGCACATGGACTGCCATGATTCAAGAAAGGAGACCCCACCACCTTCTCAAGGACATCTCGGGACGGGCAATAAACGCTGGCCCAGCCAACAACAACCACATCCATCAATTAATTAAAAATAAAGTTATGCATAATCATTAGCTGTGACAGTCAGGAGATTGTGTGTTCAAATTCTACTCCTGAACCTTAAGAACAATATCTGGACTAATGTTCTCACTGTGCTATAGAGGGCTGCATTGTCGAAGGTGCTACCTTTCAAATGAAATGTCAAACCAAGAGTCTGTCTGCTTTGGTGTTATTGGATGAAGAGGAGGGGATCTGTCCCTGGTATCCTGGCTAATATTTATCGCCCAACCCACTGAGAAACAGAGATAGTAGGAACTGCAGATGCTGGAGAATCTGAGATAACAAGGTGTGGAGCTGGATGAACGCAGCAGGCCAAGCAGCATTAGAGGAGCATGAAGGCTGACGTTTTGAAGGCTGATTTTCTGAAGAAGGGTCTAGGCCCGAAACGTCAGCCTTCCTGCTCCTCTGATGCTGCTTGGCCTGCTGTGTTCATCCAGCTCTACACCTTGTTATCTCCACTGAGAAACAGATTGACTGGTCATTATGTCCCAGGCTGGGACTAGCCTTTGTACACCATGAGCAATGCTTCTATTTGGCAATCGACAATAAATGATGTTCCTTTCCAGTTGGGGTTCCTGAGTTCTTACTCTCAGGTTCAAGTCCCACCTGCCCCAGAGGTATGTCATGACACCTCAGAACAGGTTGATTAGGTAAAGGCCTCTGACAGGGAAACACTAATCACAGTGCACTGACCTACATTGAAAAGTTTATAACTCAAAATATGAGACTATTCAGGTGGAGTCTTTTGTTTCAACCATTTAATTTCAGGGCTGTTCACATTGCTGGAACAGATTAGGTAATGGCTGGTGCATGGTACAGACTGTAAAATGTTGGAGGAAGTTAAAGGTTTACACAATGCTAAGGGAATGAATGGATGTGTTTCTTGTGTTTTGTTGTCCACCACATATCTAGTGATGAAGCACATATTTAAAATGGTGTTTCATCTTATTTGTGTTTGTGGGACTTTGTTGTGAATCAATTGGTTGCCATGTGTCCTTTATTAAAATACTGACTAAACAACAAAAGTACGAGTTCTGTAAAACTCTTTAGGCTGTCCTGAGATCCTGAAGGTGCTACATAAATGCAAGCCTTCTTGCTTATTTTCTTCAATATTTTCCTTTTGGCCTTACAAGCTATTACCTTTTGCTCAATTTCTACTCTATTGTCCTCAGTGCCTTCTTCCTGTTTCCTCTATGGCCTTAAAAATCTCTATTCTTAATTTGTACAGCTTTTTTCTTTATGCAACTATATCCCTACAGTGTTATATCCCTATGTTTCTGTCCAATGTTTTATCTTATAAGGCTGGAGGCAAGTGAAGACTCTACCCTTTCTTTACCTGTCTTTTTGATTCTGGACTGAAATAGGAAAAAAGAATTGTTTTAATAACCAAGGATTGTGGAAGGGATATGTGCACTTTTAAAAGGCAATTTTATTGTAAGTGCCGCTTACATTGTTGCTTGTTCAACCAGTGGAGATATATTAGTTGCTGGCAAATGGCGCCAGGGAGCATTAAAAAGTGAGATTTGGTCAGCAACAAATAGCTGATTGGTCTGTGGAATGGTGATCAGTTATTGATGACAAAGGCTTTCTGCCTGCCAACAACTATGCAATTGGCTCCTAGGTGGATGAATACTTTTTTGCTGTGAATGATAAAACTAAATCCATCCAGAAGGGGAGGTGGTGTCCTTTATCCTGCTGTAGAAAAACTACTAAAGACTGAAGAAAACCATTTTCCCTCACCAACTGCTATAAGCTGTTGCTTTCAACAAATAAGTCATAGATTTTATAATTTAGGGACCGGTTGCTGTGTGCCAGCTGTAAAGATGTAAGGAAAACACTTGCACTGGAGAGAAATTGACCATCAGCAAATCCTGACAAGCTAAAAGAATCATTTCAGCAAATCCAGTGAAGAGGGACCACTGGACTGCCTTCCCAGTCTTTTCCCCCATCCATAGCACCAATGTTTTCTGGTATCTGCTCATGTCTGTCTGTATGCGTGTGTAGGGGAAGATAGTAAGGAGGTGAGAGTTTTAACCAGCAGATTTATCTGTCGAGGGCTCACTATTGTTTACCAGTAACTAGAATATATTTATTTTTAATAAAACCTTTACATTTTATGACAACTCCGGGAATAGCGGAGCTTGGATTTCTGGTGCATTATCCCAATGAAACATGACAATTTTCATTTTGTGTATCTACCTGCTCATGTTGACCTTCTGCTTTCTTCTCTGCTCTCAACTAATTAGCTTTAAGTTCAAAAACCTTCCTTCTAGCAATCGGCAGCAATTTGTGGAGCTTGTTATTTCCACAGTCTCTGTTAATTCTTTCTGTAGCATTAATGGAAATCATAACATTGGCTCTCATTGGTCCTGGCAGTATGCGAATGGGCTGGAATAGTCTACTTTAGCAATATGAATCTCCACCCTCCATCTCAAAAAAAAAGTGACCGGGCTTTTCCCCAATGGAATAGACGGCTCCACAAACACAACAAGAATTTTAATAAGTGCTTTTCCCGTCTGGAAATTTGCCTGCCTCATTTCGAAAGAACTGAGTGCTGCAGCGTCATTGGACAAAGCTTCCATTTTCAGTGTAGTTTCAGTACAGAGTAGCAACACCAGCTCTTGATCCAGGGTGCAACTGGGTTCCGAGGTCTGGAGAGATTTACACTGCAGCAGGTAAGAAATTAGATATTTGCCCTTTCTTTTCAGATCAAACAATAAATGTCAGCTGGATGGTTGTTAGGGGGAAGCTATAATGTTCTGTTCAAAAAAGCTGTTTATCCACGCTGGAATATTTCCACATTGTTTCCAATGAAAGTCTAGACTTTTTCACCCCATCTTTAAATTTTGAGGCTTTGCTATTTTCTGGGCTCCTGGATTCGCTTTGCTGCAGCAGAATTAATTGTGATCTTCAATTCTGTTGAGTTAAATTCTGGGCAATTTCAAAGCCTCTCTCCAATGAGCCCACTGCACACTGGGTGAGGGGCTATGTTACAGGATTCCGATACCGTAAAAAGTCAACTATTTCTTTATTCATGTCGGGTCAGCTTACAGCCACTACTGTTCGAATTATGGTTTAAATAAATGGGAACTTATAAATGCTTGGCTAGGTCAGAGTTCACATAAATAAATGATCAAGTGATCTCCAGTGACACGGATTTGTGGATCTGATTCCCTAGGGGTTATCCGGTGATTGTTTGGAATTCTAGTCGGTGGAATGGTTGAAAGTTTAATACCTATAATCATTTAAGATCGTTTGGAAATGAACAAGAGGGGCACTGTGGAGAATTTATGCCCAAAACAGGGCGTTGTGATCTGCAGTAAAGTGGCAGTGGAAACTGATCAATCATAATAAGAACTGAATAAATCCTTGCAGGGTTCTGGGGCAAGTGGATTTAATTGGTCTGCTCCTTTGAAGACTTGGCACAGGCACAATGTGCTAAATGGCCTCGTTGCGTGGAGGCTCTGCTAAAGATTTCTAAGTTTTTAAAATCCTCCAGGGCATGAGGGAGGTTTCGCCAAATCTGTACAAGGCACTAGTCAGGCCACAGCTGGAATACTGTGAACAGTTTTGGGTCCTTTATCTAAGGTATTGGAGGCAGTCCAGAGAAGGTTCACTGTCTTATGAGGAGAGGTTGAGGGGATTGACCTTTACTCATTGGAATATAGAAGAATGAGAGGCGATGAATATATAGAAGAATGAGAGGGTAGATGTGGTAAGTTGTTTCCCATTGTGGGAAAGTCTAGGACCAGGGGACATAATCTCAGAATAAGGAGTTGCATGTTTCAGGTAGAGATGAGGAGAAATTTCTTCTCTCAGAATGGGGTGAATCTGTGGAATTCTCTGCCACAGAGGTCTGTCAAGGCTGGGTCATTAAGCATATCCAAGGCTGAGATAGACAGAATTTTAAACAGTGAGGGGAATCAAGGATAATGGGGATAGGGCAGGAAAGTAGAGTTGGGGATTATCAGATCAACCATGATCTCAGCGAATGTTGGAGCAGATTCGATGGGCAGAATTGCCAACTTCTGCTCCTAAGTCTCGAGATCTTATGTGTGCTGTAGTAAGGTCAGCTATGTAATTGTTGGCAATGGATACTAAATGATTTTTTGGCCAGCTTGGTACACATTCTGTGGGCTGCTGTGCAGGAATGTAGTGCAAAGTGTATTGCTCCCTCGATAATCGCCTCACACCCACTCCCAGAAACATTGTGGTGACAAGAGACAAGCAGCTGAAATCCTGGGCATGTTCAATGATTAGGCAGCATCAGTGCACCACAAGCTTGTGATGCTTCAGAGTACTTCAAACTCCAGTGTTGCTGCATTAGCCCAGTCATAGAGGTCTACAGCATAGAAAAACCTTTGAGTTCTGAGGAAGGGTCACCAGACCCGAAACGTTAACTCTGTTTCCTCCTCCACAGATATTGCCAGACCTGCTGATCTTTTCCAGCAACTTTGTTTTTGTTCCAGAAAAACCTTTATCCGTTGTATTGTCAAAAACATTCACCTAGCTATTCTAATCCTGTTTTCCAGCACTTGGCCCATAGCCTTGTATGCCTTGGCATCACAAAGGTAGAACTATATACATTGAAATGCTTATGAGGATTTCTACCAGCCTTACAGACAGTGTGTTCCAGATTCCCATCAGCCTCTGGGTAGAGTGTGTTAGGTTTGACAATGTTGTGTTGCCCATGTTGGTGGTAGGTCACCCCGGCATCATTTAAGTTGGAGGAAGGATACCAAAAGACGATGATTTTGAAGCTGAGGGATATGAATAAGCAGCTATAATGTGGGAGTTAGGGTGACAAAGTCGCTAATGTCACAAGGCCAGTAATCTAGAGGTCTGGATTAATGATTGAGAGATAGGAGACTTTTCTTTTATTAATTCCCAGGATGTGGACTTCAATGGCTAGGCCAGCACTTATTACCCATCTGTCATTGTCCAGATGGCGGGAATTGTCAACAACATTGGTGTGGGTCCGGAGTTATGTGTAGGCCGGAACAGTTAAGGAAGGTAGTTTCCTTCCCTAAATGACATTAGTGAAACAAGTGGGTTTTTCCTGACAATTCAAAATGGTTTCATGGTCATTATTGGATTCCAAATATTTATAGAAATCAATTTCCACCATCTGCCATGGCAGGATTCAAACCCAGGTTCCCAGAACAATGCCGGGCTCTCTGGATTAATAATCTAGTCATCACCTCTAATTCAAAGCATTAAATAAACATGGATTTAAAACAAAACACATCAGCAACAGTGACCATGAAACTATCGGGTTGTTATAAGATCAGACCTGTTTCACTAATCCCTTTAGGGAAGGAAATCTGCCATCTTTACCTGGTCTGGCCTTCTTGCGACTCTAGATTCACAGAAATGTAGTTGACTTGTAACTGAAATAACTCCACAGAGGCTGGTATCCCATCATCAAGTTCCCCTTTATTTATATGTGGAGAGTCCTTGACACTGATCCAGCTCCCTCAGAGCCAGCTCTCAGAGCGAACAGAAGGGTCCCGACCCGAAACGTCAACTTTCCTGCTCCTCTGATGCTGCCTGACCTGCTGTGTTCCTCCAGCTCCAAACTGTGTTATCTCTGACTCCAGAATCAGCAGTTCTTACTATCTCTGAGTGAGTTAGAACCTCTGACACTCCTGTTTATATCTGTCAGCCAGGGCTCCCTTATGGGACCAGGTTAACACCCGAATCAGAGAACTCCTATTCTATGAGGTCCACTTGGCTGATCTCATTACAATCACAATAGTAACCACCATCAAAAATGGCCTGACAAATCATTCATTTGTGTTCAAGAAGGCTACTCACATTCTACATTCTCAAAGATAATTATGGATAGATGGCCTTATCCCATGATTGTATAAAAGAAACCTTAAATGAATATATTGAAACTGACAGAATTCTACTACTGTGTATTTATCACATGGGACTACAAATGTGTTCAAATTAAATGTCTGGGAACTGAATCGAAGCAGCATTCTTAGTTATCATACTATAAACAGAAATAGCTGATTTTATGCAGCAGGTCGATTATTGAATGATGGGGTTTGACCCTCTCAAAAACTTATTTAGACACATTCCCAACCTCTCTCTGCAGTTGTTTCTAGATGCTTGTTCAATTTTCTTTTGAAAGCAACAATGAATTACTTGACCACATTCTCAGGCAGTACATTCTGAATGCCAACAACTCACTGTGTATGAAGAACAAAGAACAATAGAGCAACAGGAACAGGCCCTTCGGCCCTCCAAGCCTGTACTGACACATTTTGCGCTTCCATACTAAAACTGTCTTTACTTACAGGATCCATATCCCTCTATTCCCTTCCTAATCATGTATTTGTTCAGGTGTTTCTTGAACGCTGCCATTGTGTCTGCTTCCACCACCTCCTCTGGCAGTGCGTTCCAGGCACTCACCACCCTTTGTGTTAAAAAAACATTTTCCTCATCTTGCTTTGATATTTTTTCTAATCACTTTGAATGCAAGTTCTCCAGTTCTCGACCCTTTTGCCAATGGGTAACTATTTCTCTTTATCTATCTATCTAGATCACTCATGACGATAATGATATCATGGTATCGTCACTGGACATTAATGGTAATGATGACCATGATAAATTTCAGTGATTTCTGTTAAACAAAACTCCTGTCTGGTTCACTCATTCCCCTTTAGGGAAGGAAATCTGCCATCTTTACCTGGTCTGGCCAACAGTGGCTCTAGACCCATTGAAGATGCAGCTGAGTCTCAACCACCTCCAGGCAATAAGGGATGGGTGATAAATGCTGAATTTGTTGGTGACATCCACATTCCATGTAAGAATAAAGAAAATCTGTCTACCTTCCCTTCCTCTAAGGAGAGCATTCCCAACCAGATTCCCTGATCTCTCCTTGTATCTAAAGTCCCTCATCCCTTGAACCATTCTCAGGAACCTTTTCTGCATTGTCTCTAACCCATTCACTCCCTTCTGTCCAGGAATAGAACTCTATGGATGACTGCTAAATGGAATTTTTTAGCCACATGTCTCTCTTTTCAGCATCACTATATATTCACCAGGATTGTAATCTTCTGCTTCCTGTACTGTTGATTTTTGTCAGGTACACCAAACAGTGAGGAAGGTAAGTTTTAGACTTTACTACAAGGAGGGCAGAGTCTAAAGATAGAGAAGACTTGCTGCAATTGTATGACATTTTATAAGGTGAGAGCACACCTGAAGTACCGCTTACAATTCTGATCTCCTTTCTTAGGAAAGGACAGACTAGCCTTAGAAGTGAACATAGGAAATAGGAGCAGGAGTAGGCCATTCAGGCCTTCAAGCCTGCCCTGCCATTCAACAAGACCATGGTTGATACGCCTCAACTCCTCTTTCATGGTAGCTCTTCATAGATGACAAATCCTGAATACTTCCAAAACATATCTATATCCTCTTCCAGTAATCTAGTCTCCATAATTGACTCCCCAGCTGGTAGAAACATCTTCTCAACATTTACTCTGTCACACTACCTCAAAATCTTGCATATTTCAATAAAATCATCCTTCTGTTGAATAAAGATCTGACCTGCAACAAAGCATTACTCCTGAAAGCTACCGTATATGAGCGGAGACTGAGCAGTCTGGATCTTGTTAAAGCCCTTGTTGATTTTCATTGTTTTTATTTCACTCTTTTATCAATTTTGGTTTGGAGCTGTGACCTGGGAATTGTGAGCTAACAATGACTTTAGGACTATGGGTAACAGCTTGTGTAAAAAAGAAAAAAGCCTATAGAATCATAGACAAACAAGCTTTTCTTTACTTGTGAGGCGAGGCCTGGAAGTTACTTGCATATTGATTCCTGATCAAAAGGTCCTGCAGATGCTTCATCACCAGGTAAGACTATTACATATAAATAGATAGCTGGAGCTGTCTATTATTGAGGCCAGAACTTGGGAATTGGTTCCAGCAAGTCTGGAAGATACCTTATGCTCAAATAGATGGTAAATATTGACTGGTAAATGGAGGAGACAATCAGTCTGTCAGGGAGAGAACAGAGTTTGAATGGGGCTTTGGACAATGTTTTCTCTGAGGATGAATCTGGCTGTTGATGCTATAGCATGAAGATTTGAAAGCTCCTTGCTTAACCTCCCATGAACAACTCCTGGATGTTCAGAGAACAATTAATGCCTCTGTCAGGGAACCATCATCCATGCCTGTGGATCAATATGTTGTGAAACCCGCTGAAGCAATCTGGCCAGTTTAGTTGCTTTCTTTTGTCTCCGTGTCATAACAAAATAGAAAATAGAATAGTAATTGATTGCAAAAAGTTTGCAAAAAAGACAATGAAAAGTATTTAAGTTGCTGTCCTCTGGTGCTTATATTAATAACAGAAATCATATATTAAAAAAAATACAAAGTCCATTTTTGTTCAATTCATGGCTTATGGTTTCCCAAGGTCAAGGAAAAGACAACCCATACTCTCTGGAGTTAGGAGGATGGGAGGTGATCTCATTGGCATGTATAAGATTCTGTAAGGGCTTGGTAGAATAGATGGTGAAGTATGTTTCCCCACTGGTTGGAGAGTCTAGAAACTGGGGGCATTATTACAGGTTAAGAGATTGACCATCTGGGACTGAAATGAGGAGGAATTTCTTCACTCAGAGAGCAGCAAACCTTTGGAATTCTGTACCTCAGAGGTCTGTGGAATCTCAGTGTTCAGCATTGCCAGTAATAGATTGGTGAGCACTTTGGGAATTAGGGAAAGTAGGGAACACTCTATGACTCAACTGGAGCTGATGAAGTTGAGCGCTGGTGTTATTGAACCATCTCAGGTGGGGATAATGACTGATTTCTGTGCCTATTCTTAATGTTCTTCCGTTCTTATAACTCCTCAGATATGAAGGTGACTCCTCAAAATATCTTCCTCCTGCTCCTTTTGGAAGTTGCGCTGGTTGAGAATGTTGTGCTGGCCAGAAAAACACTGCATGCGAAACGATCCAAAGTAAACACAGGAGATGAAATCGCAGTGCAGCAATATATCGGTGAGTGCTGGTTCAAAACAATTGGTACCCCTCCAAATCACCGAAATTGACACTAAAACGTCTCAGTAAAGAAAAAGCATCATGTATAGAAACTGAAAGCAAGTTAAAGAAGCAGCAACAACCAATCTCTCTTCCACACCTCTTGCATATAGAAAAAGATCCCAATACATTCACAAGGAGGAAAGATACCAGAGCTGAGATATTACCATAATGTGGAGATACCGGAGAGGTTGTTCCTCTTAGAGAAGGCTAAGGGGAAACTTAATGACACAAAGATAAAGCAAAGAACTGCGATGCTGGAGTTCAGAAAATGCTGGAGAAGCTGAGCAGATCTGGCAGCAGCTATGGGAAGAAAGTAGAGTTACCGCTTCGAATCTGGTGCCTCTTCATCCAAATGACACAAAGATAGGCAGAGGTGTAGGTCATGGGAAGGTTGCAGAAGGACTTGGACAGGCTAAGAGAATAGGCAAAGCAGCAGCAAATGGAATACAATGTGGGAAAGTGTGAGGTTCTGCACTTTGGTGGGAAGAATGGAGGCGTGAACCATTTTTTATCCGGCAAAGACTTCAGAAAACTGAAGCAGAAAGAGACCTCGGAGTCCTAGTTCACGATTCCCTAAAGGATAACATGCAGGTTCATTTGGCAGTTAAGAAGGAAAATGCAATTTGTGATTCATGGGCAGGGACTCCCAAATCACTTTGTGCTGTAGGTGTGTGCAGTCTCACTCCATTTAAATAATATTCAGCTCCTCTATTCTTCCTGCCAAAGTGTATTACTTCTCCCATCCCCACATTATATTACATCTGCCACGTTTTTATCCATTCACTTATCCTGTCCATATTCCTCAGTAAACTTTTTGTGTCATCCTCACCACTTACCTTCCCACCTATTTTTGTGTCATCTGCCCTGTTGCTTTTTCTGCTAATGGCAGCACAGTGAATATGTTACGATCTGGAATGTATATCAGCATGGTTCTGGAATAGTCAGTGATTTTACCAGATGACAGCAGGACCTGATGATGTTTTATATGCTCCAGCCAAATCTCCTGAAGGATGTCTAAATGGTTGTCGGTCATGTCCTTTCAAACCTACGCCCTTTTCTCTACGAGAGCGGAGATGAGAACGATGCCAGGGGAACAGTCAGGATGAGAAAGAGAGAGAGAGAGGGAGAGAGAGAGTACCATTTCACTGGAGATGGGAATATCAGACATAGAGGTTAGAGTGTATTTGAGCAAATCAGTTGCTGGAGGAATATCATGGAAAATGGAAGGTCAAAGGCTAGATTGTTGGGATCTGGAAAGTGCAGTTGTGAATAAATTTTAGATTGTTTATTCCAGAGGTTGCTACAGACAGAGGGAAGCTTGGAGATGTAGAAGGGGGCTGTAGATGCTTAAACAGAGCTAAACTTGTCTGTGATTGAAACCATGGGAGTTGCAAGTAGCAGACGGTGAGATCAACACTGCTGCCTCTCAGTGCCAGGGACCCGGGTTCGATCCCACCCTCGGGTGCCTGTCTGTGTGGAGTTTGCACATTCTCCCTGTGTCTGCGTGGGTTTCCTCCAGGTCCTCCGTTTTCCTCCCACAGTCCAAAGATGTGCAGGTTAGGTGGATTGGCCATGCTAAATTGCCCATAGCGTATAGGATGGGAAATGGTAGGGATGGGTGTGGGTGGGATGCTCTTCAGAGGGTCAGTGTAGACTCGATGGACCAAATGGCCTGCTTCCACACTGTAGGGATTCTATGATGATTCTGTGAAGAAGGTGACTTTGAACAAGAGCTGGGCATTTCTCAGAGGAAGACATTTCAGGTGGACCAGAGGCCAGTAATCTCAGAGGAGTAAGAAGATGATGAGGTGACATGGAGGTTGAAATCCCTCATAGTGAGGAAGGAAAGGATTGAAAGAAATCCCAATGATAAAATTTTTATTGCACTTGGGAGGACAGTACCAAACAAAAACTGAACGAAACCACGGTTGGAATGTTGAAATGGAACAGTTTGATTAAAATTTTTAAGATATTAGCAAAAACAGAAAAGGGGCGATCATGAGAAACTATAGAATATGGAGATGAGGCATAGATCTTGGTTTAGGAACTTACATCAAAAAATGAACTTGCAGGAATAAAATCAAAAATATTTGGAAACTTGGAATTCTCTTCGTAAATGGCAATTAATGCTAGATTCGTTGTCAATTTTAAAATCCATTGAGAGGTTTTTATTATCCAAAGTTATTAAGGGCTCTGGGGCTGGGAGGATGGTGGTGTAGTGGTAATGTTACTGTGGACTAATAATGCTGAGGCCTGAAGCCAATACTCTGAGGACAAAGGTTCAAATCCCACCATGGGGCTGGTAAATTTAAATCGGTTGATCAGTGTGGAATTGAAAACTAGTCTTAGTAAGGATGACAACTATTAATTATTGCTTAAATCAATAAAGACACTTCTGATTCAATAATGTTCTCTTGGGAAGGAAATCTGCCATCCTTACCTAGTCTGGCCTACCTGTGCCTCCAGACCCACAGCAACGTAGTTGACTCTTAAATGCCCTCTGAAATGTCCTAGCAAGTCATTCATTTCAAGAGGTAATTAGGGATTTGTGACAAATGTTGGGCTTGCCAGTAATGGCCCATTCTGTGGAAGAATAAGGAAAAATCGTAGAGGTGACTTCTAGATCAGCCATTGATTGACAGAACACTCTCAAGGGCCCAAATAGCCTGCTCCTATGATATTTACCCAAGAAAGAAGCTACTGCATTGCATTTTCTAGAAAGTAAATACTGTGTTTTGTTTTACAGAGGAACAATGCGTTGGCAAGGCCTTAGACTTAGTCTTCATCATTGACAGTTCCCGGAGTATACTTCCTCCTGACTTTGAGAAAGTGAAAGAATTCATCAAAAACATCCTCAAATTCCTGGACGTTGGTCTGGCCAAGACAAGAGTGGGCCTCGTCCTCTATGGCAGCACCGTCGAAAGCGTGTTCTCCCTCAAAACCTACAAGAAGGTGGAGGACATGATGAGGGCAGTTGAGGAGATGGTGCACTTGGCAACTGGCACCATGACAGGGCTGGCCATTGAATATACTATGAAGGTGGCATTCTCCAAACAGGAGGGGGCAAGGCCATTTGACAGAAACGTGCCGCGCGTGGCAATTATAGTGACGGATGGGAGACCCCAGGACAAGGTGGCAGAGGTAGCAGCTCAAGCAAGAGACTCGGGAATTCTCATATTCGCCGTAGGTGTAGGAAGAGTTGATATGCAGATACTTCAGCTGATTGGGAGCGAGCCACATGAGAAACATGTGTTCTTTGTGCAGAATTTCAGCATGATTCAAACTCTCCTCTCTGAGTTCCAAACCAAAATATGTGGTACGTTTTGGGGGGAATAGCACTATCATGTATTAAACACACTGTTTAAAATTTAGCTTTGCTAGAGAAAGTAGTGAGTTTTGTAGCCAATGCTCTCATCCTATAGTATCAAGAGGTTCCCAAGCTTGCAAATTCACACCAGGCACAAAATCTAGGCTGACAGTCCAATGCGCTACTGAGACAGTATCACACTGCCAGAGGTGCTGTCCTTCAGTCTAGACATTAAACCTAGACCCCATCTACCCCCTTGAGTGGATGCAAAAGATCACACTATCACAAAATTGAGGCTGATGTAACAAGAGTCATAGAGCCATACAGCAATGGAAACAGACCCTTCGGTCTTACTCGTCCATACCGACCAGATATCCTAAATTAGTGTAGTCCCATTTGCCAGCATTTGGTCCATATCCCTCTTAACCTTTCCTATTCATATACCCATCCAGATGCCTTTATGTTGTAATTGTACCAGCCTCCACCACTTCATCTGGCAGCTCATTGCATACACGCTCCACCCTCTGTATGAAAAAGTTGCCCCTCAGATTCTTTTCAAATCTTTTGCCTGTCACCTTAAAACTATGCCTTCTAGTTTTGTACTGCCCTACCAAGGGAAAAAGACCTTGGCTATTCACGCTATCTATGGCCAACATGATTTTATGGTACTTTGTTGTGCAAGATTTTGTTACCATGTCAGTCTACAACAGGGACTGCTCAAAATTATTTAAGTTTGTACAGTGTCTGTAAAATGCTTTACAACATCCCAATGTTATAAAAAGCACTACATAAGTTCAAATTCTGTCTTCTTGACATCGATTGACCACCAAATAAATACATTCAGTCAATTTTCGCAATATCAAACTCATTTTTATAAGGGATCATATGTAAGATTACTCACTTATATATTTCATCAACGCCTTAGATCCTAGGTCTAGTGTTTGCTTTCTGCCTGGTCTGTGTGACCCTGTTTTTAACCTTTCACCCAATGTCCGATAAGCGTGTGTCCATCAGCAGTTTAAACAGCAGCAGAAATATTTTGGGCTTTGCTGGGAAGCAAAAGGTTTCGTAGAACTCTGGACATCCAGTGGCTTTCTTGCAATTGTTCTCTCGCGCTGTGAATGAACTGGTTCGACTGGATTAATATCCCATTTTCAGGGTGACAAACAAGTAAAATCCTACGCAAAACCTGGGTAAAGTGACACTTATGTACAGTGTATAACAAAATGGCTACTGCAATATTAACAAGCAACATTATGGCCACTCACGTTGGATTAAATTTTGGGCAAATGCAGAAAGCAGTGACAAAATGTTGACTTTCAGACTGGAGAATAGTAAATGATGAATTTCCCTGGGACTGCTATTTTGTTTTTAAAAAAGCTGTATAACTGATGTGGATATTAGATTACAGAATAAAATTTCAAAAATTGCCAATAATACTAGCCTTGGAGACGTGACAGATAGTGAGAATGACATTAACCTAAAGCAGCAAGGCAGTGACAGACTGATAGAATTCGATCTGATGTAGAGAATCATAGATTCATACTGCACGGAAACAGACTCTTCGGCCCAACTTGTCCATGCTGACCAGGTTTCCCAAACTGAACTAGTCCCATTTGTCTGAGTTTGTCCCATATCTCTCTAATCCATGTACCTGCCCAAGAGCATCACAAAAAGATAGGGAGAGGCAATATATGCTTCATGGCACAGTTCAAAAGAGTTTGATGGGTGAGTGGGATCTGAGGGTGAACGTTTACTGATCCTGAAGGTGCCAGTTCATATTGGGATATTATGTTGTAAACCATGCGCTATCTTAGGCTTCATATATAGAGATATTGAGTGCAAAAGCAGGGACGTTCTGCTGAACCTTTATAAAACTCTCAATAGGCCACAGCTAGAGTGTCGCACCTAGATTTTTGGCCAGCGAACTTTAAGAAAGGTACTTGAGAGAAGGATGAGGAGATTTACCAGAATGGTCCCAGGGGTGAGCTGAAGGATGAAGTTGGTGAATCTGAGTAGGTCCTCCTTAAAATGAAGGTGGAGAGTGGGGAGATTTGGGAGAATTGTTCACAACTATGAGAGATTTAGGCACAGCAAACAAAAAATATCCTTTTCCATTGGCTGACGACCCCAAGGACTAGGGTCGCAGATTGAAGACTTTGTGGAAGAATGTGAGAAAGAAGATTTTTATGTAACAAGTAGCAAAGATCTGAAACTCACTGCCTGCAGGTGAGGTGAGGTGGGAAGGTGGTGGTGGGTGGTGAGAATATAGACAATTAATGATTCCAGAAGAAAATGATGAGCTTCTGAAGGAGATAAACTTGCAGGGCCATGGTGCTAGAGGTGAGGATAGGGACCGTCGGGATCGCTGTAGAGAGAGCAAGCATCGACTAAATAAACTAAATGGCTTCCTTTTTGCATGAGTCGAGAGGATAGGTTTTAAGGGGTCCTGTGAACAATGCTCTCCACATATCACCCAGGCAATGAATGGCTACCATGCAACCATTTAACAAGCACTGGCTAATGATAGACTGGGCACAGGATTTCTGTCCCTCTGGGATAGGAATCAACACCTCAGAAAGCTGCGGACCAATCAGAAGCCAGCAGCTCACTCGTACCGACAGTGCCACCAGGAGCAGTGGCCACTGCTGGAACTGCAGCAAGGCTGAGAGGAGGCAAGCTCAAATTGCGTTGTAAGCATTCAAGAGTTTTATCAGGAAGATTGGCGGAAGAGGAGCTGTAGAAATGCAAATTCTCTCAGTGAATTAACTTTGAGATGGGACTGCATAAAAGCCCAACTAATCTACCAGCAGTTAACATTGATAAGATCTTTGAAAGTTTGCTGGCGCAATTTATTTTGCTTTTAAATATATCCAGCTCCAGGAAACCCATTGGAGTCTAATTCATTTTGATCAATGCATCTTCACTTACTTCTACTTGTCACTGATGTGAAGAATTCCTTCAGGATAAGTTCCAAATGTCAATTAGGGAGATCATTTTGCACTGATTTCACACTAATTACATTTACTGAAAAGAGTAATCTGCCTTGGTCAAAATAAAAGATAATGCACAGGTTTGGTTACGTAGAAATATAGATAAATAGATTAACGCAGCATCAAAGGAGGCTATTTGGTCCATTGAGCCTGTGTCAGCTCTCTGAAAGAGCTATCTGATTCATCCCACATTCTCCTCCTACAAAATAGCAGCCTTCTGCTTTAATTTTAATCCTTGGCAAAGTTCCTCCTGAACAGGTTTCCCACATCTTTTCAAACGCAACTCTCCAAATCTCTTCATCTTCCCCTCGAGTTCTTTTGTCATATACCTTTGAGAAAAATTGCACTCATGACAAACCTTTCTCTTTTTGTGCACAGATACAGATCTCTGCGGAGTGGTTGGCCATGGATGTGAACAGATCTGTGTCAACACACCAGGGTCTTACATTTGCAAATGTGAAAAAGGATTCATCCTAAACAGTGATCAGAAAACTTGCCGAAGTAAGGCCAGCTGGTGTCATAGTTTAAATCTCTTTGATAATTTGAAGGGAATGTTTTTTAAACTCTTTCACAGGAAGTGGGTGTTGCATTATAGACCAGTACTCAGTAGGCCATGGCCTAGTATTATCACTAGACTATTAATCCAGAGACCCAGGAAATGTTCTGGGCACCTGGGTTCAAATCCCGCAATGGCAGATGGTGGTATTTGAATTCAATAATAATCTAGAATTAAGAGTCTAATGAAGTCCATGAATCCATTGTCGATTGTTGGAAAAACCTATCTGGTTCACGAAAGTCCTTCAGCGAAGGAAATCTGCCGTCCTCACCTGGTCTGGCCTACACATGACTCCAGACCCACAGCAATGTGATTGACTCTTAACAGCCCCCTGGGCAATTAGGGATGGGCAATAAATGCTGGCCTAGAGAGCATGCCCTCATCCTGTGAATGAATTAAAAACCTGTCCTAATTGTACCTGAGAATGTGATGGTGATGTTTACCAGTATTAAAGCAGATTGTGATTAGATTTGAAAGGTTAAAGGGGAAAGCATAGTGTGACCGATGCCTTGCAGAGATGCTTATTATCTCTTCAAAGAATTCTAATAAATTTGCCAGCCGTGACTTCCCCTTCATGAAGCCACGCTGACACTGCTTGATCATATCATTTCTTTCTAAATGCTGTACTATTACATCCTTTATACTAGAGTCTAATGAGATGTTAATGAAGATGTTTAGCTAACTAGCCTATAGTAACCTGCTTTGTATCACCCACCCGTTTTTAAAGATGGGTATTATATGGTGCTTTTCTAAAATCTAAAGATTCCTGGAGAATTACTATCACTATATCTGTAGGTATTTACTTTGATGTGAAGTTGCCAGTGTTGGACTGGGTTGGACAAAGTCAGAAGTCACACAAAACCAGGCTGTAGTCCAACAGGTTGATTTGAAATCACAAAGTTTCGGAGCACTGCTCCTTTGTCAGGTGAAGTTCACTTCAAATAAACCTGTTAGACTATAACATAATGTCGTGTAGCTTCTAGCTATTTCCCTTTATATTCTAGGATGCAACCCATCAGGTCCGGGGAATTTAATGACCTTTTGCCCCATTCGTTTCCCTTGTACTTTTTCTCTGGTAGTAGTTATTGTACTTATTTCCTCTCTTCCTTTGCCCCTCGATTATTTAATAGCTTTGAAATTCATTAGTGTCTCCTAAGTTGACAAAAAAAAAATCAACTCTTCTGTCATTTTTAGTTTCCCTATTATTATTTTCTCAGCATCATTATGTGAGGAGCCTATAGTTACTTTGCCCTCTCTCTTTTACTCATTTAAGAAAGATATTGCTTGCCATGCTAATATTATTTGCTGGCTTACACTCAAAGTTTATTTTCTTCCTCTTTATTTTTCTTTTAGTTATCTTTGTCGGTTTTGAAAACTTTCCCAATCCTCTGGTTTACCACTAAGCTTCGCCACATTATGTATTTTTCTTCTTTCAATTTGGTTGGCTTACCCCTTCCTAGAATCCTTCTTACTCATGGGATTACAACTTTATTGTGAGTCATCAGCCATCTTTTCTGTTAAACCCCTTTCCCAGTCCACTCCAACCAGCTCTGCCCTCATTCCCATGTTATTATCCTCATATAAGCTTAACACAGTAATTTCCAACCCACATTTCTCCCTCTCAAACAATGCTAAATTTTACCATGTTATGGTCACTATTTCCTAGGGCACCCTTTACTCTGACATCATTTCTTCAACCTGTCTCACTACATATCTATAGATCCAAAAAAGCCTTATCCTGGGTTGGATTCATAACATATTATTCTAAGAAACTGTCCCAAATTCATGTACAAATTATTCCTCATGGCTATCTTTTCCTACCTGAATATCCCAATTTACAGGAAGGTTAAAGTCACCATGATTGGGATTTTCACATGGCCTCATTATATCCTGATGTCTAATAACATCTCTGATTTAAAATGTTGGTAATACTGGGGAAAGAACTGTAACAGCTGCTTTAATATCATGCAAATTGATATATTCTTTGTCCTTTTTACAGGAATTGATTTCTGCATCCAGGCTGGGCACAACTGCGAACATGATTGTGTGAGCACAGAGGACAGTTATTTCTGTAGATGTCGGAAAGGTTACGTACTACACCCTGATGGCAAGACATGTCTGCGTACGTCCTTCACCAACTACTCGCTCTCACAAACTTACCCCTTTCATCATCTTATAGACCCTGTCTCATAACAAGCAAAGTTACCTTTTATTCAACCTAAGCAACCATGTAGAAATAGTCATTCAACCATCATTGACTGGGAACACTATATTAAACTGATGTGCTTGTTAAAACTCACCCAAATCAAAATCCCAGAATAGTTTGGGCACCACATGCACCGGAGAATTCCGATTTGAGAGTTCGTTGTTCGGGAATTACAACAAATCAAAATGCTGGATTGTTAAACAAATAAGAGATGCAGATGAGCGAACTTGATTGGTTGAGTATTCACAAGGCGACCTCCATTCTGCAGATTTACTGTCACTTTGTAGATAGTTTCAATCAACCTGCACAGGGATGTTCTTACACACCTCTAAGGAGGGTGGAACTTGAACACAGGTCTTCTGGTCTCAGAGTTTGGGACACTACTACTGCGCCACAAAACCCACAGAATCATAGAGCATGGAAACAGATCCTTTGGTCCAACCAGTCCATGCCAAACATAATCCCAAGCTGAGCTAATACCCTGCCTACTCCTGGCCCATACCCCTCCAAACCTTTCCTGTTCATGTCCTTAACAAAGTGGCTTTTAAACATTATAACCACTTTCTCAGGAAGTTCATTCCACACGCGAACCACCATCTGTGTAAAACATTTGCCCCTTATGTCTTTTATTAATTTAAATCTTTCTCCTCTCGCCTTAAAAATCTCCCATCCCAGGGAAAATACACCTACCATTAACCTTATATATACACTTCATGATTTTATAAAGCTCTAGAAGGTCACCTCTCAACCTTCTACACTCGATACACAGCAACATCCTGGTAAATCTGTTCTGAAACCTCTTTAACTTAGTAATATCATTTCCATAACTGGGCGACCAGAACTGGACACAGTACTCCAGAAGAGGGCTCACCAATCCCACTTTTTATGCTCCGGCTTCCCTCGGTATTTTTTCATCTCAGAGATGTCATTGCACTCCCCTGGAGCAGTAGGACTTGAACCAAAGCCTCCTGGCTCAGAGAGAGGGGCACTACCCATGCATCACGGAGACCTTTGTCATTTTGTACTCATTTGTGAATAGCCCATCACATTAACTGAACAAATGACGATTCGAAGACAAGCCTGACTCCCCTCAGCATTGTGTAGTCACATGTTGATCACTATTGTAGTAGTAAAGCCATTGCTGCACATTGCCTCTATTAGAGTTCTCATTCGGGGAAGCTGGAAGATAAGTAAAGAATATAAGGATAGATGAAAAGTAATGAACAGGATCTCATAAACACCGCACATATCAGTTAGGACAAAAGGTGCCTTATTGTGCTCTATCTGCACTGGATGCTTTCTAATCAAACTGCTCAGAGATGATATCTCATATACTGCTGGAGTAGGTGGGGTTTGAACCCAGGCCTCCAGACTCAAGCAGAGGGACATTTCCACTATGCCACAATTGAGCCTCTATCCTCTCAATACGGTGAGCCAAAAAATGGAGTCTCCTTTGTTAATTGAACATGAAATTGGTGATGAATATATTCAGACAGGTATTAAGTGAGGACTTGCTTGAGCTCCTCTATGTACACACATAAAAACAACTTTGTAATAAACAGTACAAAGATTAGGCTCCAATGTTCTATCTATCATTGCCTGGCTATCTGAGTTGTATCAACCCTCCACAATCCCAGAATTTTCAATGTACAAAGCACTCCATTTGTACCTCAATTACTCCCTCTACAAAATGTGCAGGGCACTGCAACACTGGACACAGCAGTAAAAATGAAGTATCAGATCCTCAGGCTAAAACAGAACATACAGTTTAACTGACAGTTTGGACTAAAATGGCTCTAGAGCCAGAAATGAATATGAGGCTTTTTAGACCAGCCCTATATCACTAAATAATTAAGCCAAACATAAATTGTTTAGCAAGCATTCACTAAAATAAAGCATCAACAGAATGGAATTAATGGCTGTTTGCTGGTGACATTACTTGATGTTCTTAAGATAAATTGACATTCTGTGCCATACACTAGGGTGCTAGACCCCAGAAGCTGGCACATAGAGAAAGACAGGTTCGGTCTAGTTGGCACGCACAGACCAATCACTGGGACTCAGTCTGCTGCAGTGGGTCTTAATTGATGCTGGGGGCAGCTCAGAATCACTATCACTGACCCCAGTGGTTCACCTGGTCAATGTTCTTCCAGTAGAATTTTTCTGGAATATTTCAATCATCGATGAATTTGCAGTGTTTCTCACTCTGTCACTTTGTGTCTGCTGATGTCTCTTTTCCTGTATTTTATTTGCTGTCATGAGAATACAAGAGTACTGGAGCAGGAATAGGCTACACAGCCATTTGATCCTCCTCCAGCACTCAGTAAGATTATGGCTGATGTCCTACATCAACCTGACTCTCCTGCTTTATCCCTATATCCCTTAATTCCCCAAGTGTCCACAAAATATATTATTTCCATTCTTGAATACACTCGATGACTGACCTTCCCCAATCCCCTGTTTTGTTTTGTTTTCTGTGCTGGCCTTGGAGGGAGTCCAGAGGAGGTTCACAAGAATGATCCCGGGATTGAAGGGCTTAACATATGAGGAGCAGTTGAGGACTCTGGGTCTGTACTTGGAGTTTAGAAGGATGAGGGGGGATCTGATTGAAACTTAGGAGAATACTGAGAGGCCTGGATAGAGTGGATGTGGAAAAGATATTTCTGCTAGTAGAAGAGACTAGGACCCAAAGGCATAGCCTCAGGGTAAAGGGACAACCCTTTAGAATTGAGATGTGGAAGAATTTCTTCAGCCAGAGGGTAGTGGAACTCATTGTTGCAGGAGGCTTTGGAGGCCAAGTCGTTGAGAGTATTTAAGAAGGAGATAGATTGGTTCCTGGCTAGGAAGAGGATCACAGATTATGGAGAGAAAACAGGAGAATGGGGGTTGAGAAATATATCAGCCATGATTGAATGGCAGAGCAGATTTGATGAGTCAAATGGCCTAAATCTGTTCCTATATCTTATTGTCTTATGCTCCTCAGGATGAAGGTAATTTGAGAGTGTCATTCAAAGCTTTGTCTTGGGTGGTTCAAGCTTCTTCACTGTTGACAGAGCTGCACTCATCCAGGCAACTGGGGAATATTCCATTACGTTCCTGAAATGTACCTTGTAGATGGTGGACAGGCTTTGGGGAGTCAGGAGGTGAGTTATTCACCACAGCATTCCTAGACTCTGACCTGTTCTTGTAATCACAGTATTTATATGATTGGTCCAGTTGAGTTTCTGATTGATAGCAACACTCAGGCTGTTGATGGTCAGGGGTTCAGTGATGATAATGCTATCGAAAGTCAAGGAGACAGGGTTGGATTCTCTCTTACATGAACACTTTTTACACTTAACTGGCAAGTAACTTTCATGCCACTCATCCACCCAAGTCTGAATGCCATCCAGTTTTGCTGCAAGTGGAGACAGATTGCTTCAGTACCTAATGGATTGCAAATTATACTGAATACTGTGAACATCCCACTTCTGACATGTATGAGGCCCAGCAGTGATCCCTATGTTATCCCACTAGAAACAGTCTGTCACCAGAAAATGACCTGTTCATTCCTACTCTTTGTTTCCTATCAATGAGTTCTCTATCCTTGACAGTACACTGTCCCCAATCACAGATGCTTTAATTTTATGTACTAATCTCTTACGTGGAACCTTATTGAACAGCTTCTAAAGTCCAAATAAACCATGTCCACTGGGTCCCCTTACCAACTATATTAGTTACATCCTCCAAAATTTCCAGTCCATTTGTCAAGCATAATTTCCCTTCCCCAAATCCATGCACCCTTTGACCAATCCTGTCACTAGGCTGAAAGTAAGAAGACTTGGATTTTGCAATCAAGTGTGATTAATGATATGATTAGATACACACAATGGTGCCATCCTTTAATTAGTTTATACCTTATTTTGTTTCAGTGATTTTGTCTGTAAGTTGCAAATTATTAAACTTGTTTTATTTGGATCTTCATCACAATGTAGCACCAGCTGCCAAGATTATTTCTCAAGAAACCAATGATTTTCTTTTATATCTAGCTGCACACGAAATGAAATAGCGTACATTAACTTTTGATTAAGATTCAGTTTATAGGTGTGTGATATGCCCACATTCTGCTAAGTGTGCATCCTTCTGTTTGGCTGCTGTAGAGTGTACCCACAGAGCTATGGACGTCGTCTTCTTCATTGACGAATCCAAAGGCCTTGGAGCAAATCATTTCCGATCAGTGAAACAATTTGTCAACAGCATCGTGGATGGGTTGGAAGTTGCACCAAATGCAACTCGAGTGGGTCTGGTGCAGTACTCCACTAAGGTCCAGACGGAATTTCCTCTCCAACGCTACAGCACAGTCAATCAGGTCAAGGCTGCAGTGAGTCGAGCTAAATCGATAGGCCAACAGCCCATGACAGGGCGCACTCGGAGGCAGATCTTTAAAAACAGCTTCAAGGTGAATGAAGGAGCTCGAGCCCTTGCAGAAAACGTTCCAAGGATAGCGCTTGTGCTCACCGATGGCCGTCAACAGGCTGATGTTGTGGAATGGGCGACTGAAGCAAAGCAGACTGGTAATGCACATTTCAAACCATACGAAGCCACCATAGAATCTCCCATAGAATCTCACAGCTTACCTTTGTACATTATCCTGACTTACGACTCTCACATTTTAGTTAGAGTTCAAGCCCGCTCCAGAAAAACTAAACTCCAATGTCAGTGGAGTGCCGCTTGTGGTTGAGTCATTTAACCAAGGCCCCATACACTTTTTCCCTCGGGTAGACATAAGAAGTCCCAAAGGCAATCTTCCAAAGAGTAGCTGTGGTGTTCTTCATAGAGCCCTGGCCAAAATGTATCTCTCAGTGAGCACCGCTAAAACTAACAGATGACCTGCTCATTATCACATTGGGTCCCTGCATAAAACCTGACTGTCATGTTTCCAACACAAGTCTTCAAAAGTCCTTCAGTACCTTGGGGCATTCCAAAGCTGTGAAGTGCCCTGTATAAATGCAAGTCTTTTTTCTTTAAGGCAGAAGTAGGCCATACAGCCCATCATGTCTGCCCTTCAAGCAGGTCATTTCAGGACTCAAATCTTTTATTTCAACGCGTTTAAATTCTAAATATTTAGGAATACTGACTTTCAATTGCAGATAAAATGACACCGTAACAAACCAATAATTTTACCCATACATGTAGCTCAATAACTTGGTGAAAGGTATCATACAGCAATATAGTGACTGCTGCATTACCTTTTACTGGGGCATTTAACCAAAGACTTGTCTGTCTAATCAGATCCAGACAATAGATGGTGAAACATAGTAGCACAGGACTATTTAGCTCCTCAAGCCTTTTCCTCCTTTAGTGAGAAAATCTGCTACATAAACTGTACATTCTCACTTTTGTCCCATGATGGTCTGTGAGAGCTGTTGAAGGAGAATAGACAATATTGTAAACTGGGTAGATGAAATTGGAATATCACATCAAGACATTGATTAAGTGAATGGGCAAAACTATGGCAAAAAGGATTTCAATGTAGGCTCATGTGAGGTAACACACTTTGAACCTTGAAAAGATTGAATAAATGGTACAAAGCTAAACATCTGGAGGTCTGCAGAGATTTGGCATTGGAAGGGGCATTTTAGCTCTGGGTACATAGATCATTATAATGTCAAGGAACTATGCTGACTGCAAATGGTGACTCATGCCAAATCAATTGTTAATTTTAGGTCTGAGATCAATAGATTGTCATTCACCAAAGGTATTCAGGAATCCTGTTGCATTCTTAAACCTGTAAGAGATACAGCAGCCAATTTAGACACAGCAAGTTCATAAACACAGAAAAATCATAATGATCCATCATCCTGGGGATATCGATCAATGGCCAAATACTGGCCATTACACATAATTCTAATGTGCTGTAACCTTTCAGAGAACGAAACTGAGAGAAACTGCAGTTAAGTACAGTTAAATTGTACAGTTACACCACCCTTTCCAATGTTTCATCTGTGGCCTTTACAACCTACTGAAAATAAATTGCAAATTGAGTACACTGTTGAACAGGCTGTAGGAAAGTGCCTTGTGAATCTGAAATTGACCAAGTGCCTTCAGTTCAGTTGTATCCTCAAGTCGAGGCATTCAGTATGGGGCTAGGCCTGACAGCACTTTGGTTGGAGTCCTTTTTCCTTTGGTAAATTCTTTACATACATGTGTCCCCCTTATAAAGGTACAAGTGTTCACCCTCCCCTGATTATTGGCCAGGACAAGATCTTTTTCCAGAATCACGCAAGTGGAATGCTATTGGCCCACTGTGATTGTGCTGGTTCTTTGAAAATGTACTCCAATTAGTCCATCTCCTTGTACTTTCCCCATAATCCTGCAAAACTTTATGTTTTTACTTAAGTTTCTTTGGAAGTTACAATCACCTGTTTTCATCACCTTTTCAGTCAGTGCGTTTCGCGTCATAATATCCCATTCTGTGGCTCTATAGTGTGTTGAAAGTGAAGAGAAACAATATACTTATGGGAAATGTCTCAGCAGGTATCAATATATTCGCCATTGGAGTTGGCAAGGCAACTGAAGAAGAATTACAACAAGTTGCTTCATTTCCACATGATGAGTACCTGCATTACGCAAAAGACTTCAGAACCATGGGTGAAATAGTGGAAACACTGAAACTACAAATTTGTAAAGGTACTTTGAGCAACATATTCTGTAATTCCTGTGAGAATTCCCTCTGAGGGGACATCATAAATCAGAATAATTCCTGCCATATATAGTGGGAAGAACTCTGAAGTCATTATTAATATTGTGACACTACATCAACTGAAATATAGCATATAACTCTTGACCCATTTATGGTGGTGTGCTTCTGTATCATTTGCTTCTAAGTTCAATTAGCTGTAACATTCAAAACATTTGAAAGTGAAGAATTTTGCATTTGAACTAGTGGTGACAATGACAAACTTGCTGTCATACAGATTGACTGAAATAAGTAGCTTTAATGCTTTCATAGAGACATAGAGATGAACAGCATAGAAACATATACTTTGGTCCAACTCATCCATGCCAACCAGATATCCTAAATTAATCTAGTCCCATATGCCAGCATTTAAACCCTTCCTATTCATGTACTATCCAGATGCCTTTTAAATGCTATAATCGCACCCGCCTCCACCACTTCCATTTCATACATCCACCAAACTCTATGAAAATGTTGTCCCATAGATCGCTTTTAAATCTTTCCCCTCTCACTTTTAACCTATAGTTTGGGACTCCCCTACCCTGCGGAAAAGACCTTGGCTATTCATCCTGTCCATGCCCCCCATGATTGTATAAACCTCTATAAGGTCACCTCTCAGCCTCCGATGCTCCAGGGAAAACAGCCGCAGCCTATTCAACCTCTCCCTGCAGCTCAAACCCTCCAATTCCAGCAACATCCTTGAAAACCGTTTCTGCACCCTTTCCAGTTTAACAAAATCTTTTCTATAGCAGGGAGACCAGAATTGAATGCAGTATTCCAGAAGCGGCCTAACCAATGTACTGTACAGCCGCAACATGACTTCCCAACTCCTATGCTCAATGAACAAACACAAAGTTGCTGGAAAAGCTCAGCAGGTCTGGCAGCATGCGTGGCGGAAAAAACAGTTAATGTTTCGGGTCCGATGACCCTTCTCCGAGGAAGGGTCACCGGACTGAAACGTTAACTCCTCTGTTTTGTCCTTCACAAATGTTGCCAGACCTGCTGAGCTTTTCCAGCAACTTTGTCTTTGTTCCTGATTTACAGCATCTTTTCTTTCGGTTTTTATCCTATACTCAAAGCACTGTCCAATAAAGGCAAGTGTACCAAACACCTTCACTATCCTATCTACCTGTGACTCTACGTTCAAGGAACTACGAACCTATACTCCAAGGTCTCTGTTCGGCAACACTTCCAGGTCCCTACCATTAAGTAGGTAAGTCCTGCCCTGATTCGCCTTACCAAAATGCAACATCTTACATTTATCTAAATTAAACTCTATCTGCCAATCCTCGGTCCACTTGATCAAGGACCTTCACTGTCCACTCACCACCAATTTCGGTGTCATCTGCAAACTTGCTAGCCATCCCTCCTATATTCACATCCAAATCATTTATATAAATGACAATAGGAAGTGGACCCAGCACCAATCCTTGCAGAACACCACTGGTCACAGGCCTCCAGTCTGAAAATCAATCCTCCACCACCTTCTGACTGCTACCTTCAAATCAATTTTGTAACCAAATGTTTAGCTCTCCCTGGATTCCATCTGATCTAACCCTGCTAATCAGTCTACTGTGCAGAACCTTGTCGAACGCCTGGAAGTCCATATACAGAACATTCACTGCTCTGCCTTCATCAATCTTCTTGGTTACTTCTTCAATCCCGTTCGTGAGACACTATTTCCCCTGCACAAAGCCAAGCAGTCTGAAACAAACATTAGGGATTAGGAAGTGGATGAACACTGAGAATGATTGGAATGGATAATTAAACAGGGGGATAATTACAATTACTAACCTTGACCAGTTGGATCAAACGGCCTGTTTGTGTGCTTCAGATTTTATGTATCTGAAGGGGGAGGAAAATTTTGCTGTGATGCTCTGACTGGGTTTGATGCATCAATTGATCTCTTCCTATCTGTTAATATTCTATGCGATTCCACAACAACTAGAGTTTCACTTGGGTCAATGGCAAGCAAAGCTGAGAAGGACATATATCCAAATGTCCCTGCCAAAGTCAAAAGGTCAATCCTATGAACTTGTGATGAAGGTTCCTGATATATTGTTTTTATTATTTGGAAAAGGATGTTCTGGAGGTGGCAGAACCACACACAGCTTTAAGTTTGACATTACTTCTACATTGCATGTGACAGGAAAGGAAGGATATAAATGTTTCATTTTTAGTTCTGAGAGTGGTGTTGAGTTGACTGGAAATTTGTTTACATGCTTTAAAAAAGTCCTCAAGAGGAATAGTTCAGTGCTTTAAAAAAGTTGAAGATTTTTTAAAAAAGGCTGTTGCCTAGCAACAAGGTGACCTATGATGCAGGGAGATAGAGACAGAAACAAGTAACCTTTTACAAAAATAAAAGGGCCGCTGCGTGTACAGAAGAGAAGCAGGTCAGAAAAGGCCCGTACCAATGGCAGTGCAGTTTAGCAGTCACCAACACAGGCAGGCCAGAAGAAAAGCTCCGAGTGGCTGAGAAGTTAGTGAGAGACGATCCAGAAATAGATGGCTTTAAAGCATCTGAGAGGACAACATCCTACAAGGATGCTGAATGCATATGTTTAAGGAATACATATTAAGGAGTAGGTCAATTGTTTTAGCAGTTTGTTTAACGGTCTTATCAATAGACGTTAACTAAACAAGATATCATCGAGCTAATGCAGAAGTTTGTTTGATATAAACGAAATGGAGGTGTGCCAACTGACAAGGAACTTTAAAGTGGAAACTGGACAATCAAACACTGAGGTTCAAGTCATAAACTGAAACAGAAGTTGCTGGAAAAGCTCATCAGGTCTGGCAGCATCTGTGAAGAAAAAAAAAAAAAATCAGAGTTAACGTTTTGGTGACCCGAAACATTAACTTCACAGATGCTACTAGACCTGCTGAGCTTTTCCAGCAACTTCTGTTTTTGTTCCTGATTTATAGCATCGGCAGTTCTTTCAATTTTTACTGAGGTTCGAGTATCTGTAAGGTTGCTGTTGAGTGTAAAAGAGTTAAATCTTAATTGCTGATGCTTATAAATCCTTTTCAAATAGTTCTAATATTCATCTTTTTCCTTCCTTTCGTGTAATAAACTTTCTTAAAAGTACAATAGCAGTCTCGTGTGACTATGTCATAATTGATCACTGCAGTTTGCAAAAACAAAATTTATGGTCTATCAAGCCAGGCCTCACTTTGGAATCAGACTTGCCCAGCATGAACTTCTACACAATAGGAATGAAACTAATATGTATTTAAATTATTTACAGGAACTCCATCACTTAGCGATCAATGCAAATGTGAAGCAATTGTGTCATTCCAGATTCAAGCTAATGAAGAAATACGGACATTAACCCAAAAATATATCCTTTCAATGTACTGTGCAGTAGCACTGTTTTTTTATTTTAATTTTCTTCGCAATGCAAAATAATGACCTAAATTTACTCTGAGCGTCCGTAAGTACACGTGCAGATTCACTTCAAATAGTTCTCAATATTTTGGTGGCCACAGGCACTGGGAATGTTGTATACCAGTCTATCAAAAAACGAAAAGGAGGGAGACACATTTATATTACAGCCATAACTGGCTGCACTCTTGCCCAAATCAGAAGGTTCTAGGTTCAAGTCTCACTCAGAATTTCTACAGTGCAGAAGCAGAGTCCACACCAAATCTCTGATGGATATCCCACTTAAACCCACTCTATCCCCGTAGCCCTGCATTTCCCGTGGCTAATCCACCCAACTTGCACATCTTTGGACTGTGGGAGGAAACCGGAACACCAAGAGGGAGCCCATGCAGACAAGGAAGAATGTGCAAAAATCAACACAGACAGTCGCCCCAATTTGGGTCCCTAGCGCTTTGAGGCACCAGTGCAACTACTGAACTAACATGCTGCCCCAAAGACTTGAGTTCAAACAAAAAAAGGCTTGCACCCTAGTGCATGGATCAGGGATGGTCAAAAGACCAGGATTGCAAAGGGCAGATATGGAATGGTTGTAGAGTTAAAGGAGGTTAGGTGTAGCAGAGAGGCAAGATCATGGTGAATTTGAAAACATGGATAGGATTTAAAAATTAAGGTGTTGATTAAACAGGGGCCAATGTAGGTTAACAAATGCATGGTGATTGAATGAACTGAACTTGACACAACTTAGGTCAACCTCAAATTTGCGAAAGGTAGAATGAGAGTAGAGCCAGCGATCATCGGAAAAGTTAAGCCTAGTGATAACAAAAGGGATGGATGAGGATTTCACAGATGAGTTGAGGCAAGAATGAAGTTGTGATGTTACGGAGATTGACATCAGTTCATTTCAGGATAGCTACCCTAAAATCATACAGTACAGAAGAAGCCTATCGAGTCCTGTTCAGCGTTAGATAATTGGGGAGAGGCAAGGCAACCAAGTTTGTCTCCAGACCAATGGCTGCTTGTAGCAGTCCCAACATTTGAGTGGAAAGAATTCAAGCCACAATGGAGAGAGTTGAGAGAGGTGGTGGTGAGATAATACGCAAAGGTTTCTGGAGGAATCGTAGGCAGTATTATAAATTAATGGAAGCTGATTTGACCAATCAAATCTTGTTGTTTCTAGTAACTAGCTCCAGACCCTTCAAATAGAGAAACAGAAATCAAAAGTAGTTAACTAATTTCATTGATGAATTGTATCTTTTACAGCAAAGGGTCTATGTGACCTAGCTCAATTGATTTATTAAACACGTAATGTCTGCTGTGATCATGATTGAGACTTTGGAATGCTGTCTCACGAGGCGGGGTCATTAAATGATTTTAAAGAGGAAGGATATAGACTTGAAGAGAAGTCATAGTAGACTTGTAACTAACTGTTTCTCTCTGCACAGATGCTGCCAGACTTGAGTTTCATCAGCATGGTCTGTCCTTGTTTCAGATTTCCAAATCTGCATTATTTTGCTTTTATTGACAATATAGACTTTTGTGTTCCAAGAGGATCAAAGGTTATTGGGGGTGTAGATCTCATTGAACAGGACAGCAGGCTTAAGGGATCAAATGCCTATTTTTCCTCCTAATAAGAACACAATAGGAGCAGGAGTGGGCCATCTGGCCCATCAAGCCTGCTCCACCAATTCAAGATCATGACTGATCTTTTCATGGACTCAGCTTCACTTGCCCGCCCGCTCACCATAACCCCTAATTCTTTACTGTTCAAAAATCTTAAACTTTCAACGAGGTAGCCTCAACTGTTTCGCTGGGCAGGGAATTCCACAGATGCACAACCTTTGGGCGAAGAAGTTCCTCAATTCAGTCCTAAATCTGCTCCCCTTTATTTTGAGGCTATGCCCCCGGTTCTGGTTTCACCCATCAGTGTAAACAACTGCCCAGCTTCTAGCTTATCTATTTCCTTCACTATTTTATATATTTCTATAAGATCCACCCCTCGTTTTTCTAAATTCCAATGAGTGTAATCTCAGTCTACTCACAAGCTCACCCTCTCAATTCCAGAATCAACCTAGTTAACCTCCTCTGCACTCCCTCCAATGCCAGTACATCCTTCCTCAAATAAGGAAACTGTACACAGTATTCCAAGCGTGACCGCACCATGAACCTATACAGCTGCAATAACCTTCTAAATTGTACGTTTCTATGTTGGGGAAACTGTATGAATTTACAGTCAAATCAATAACATTAACCTTTAATTGCCCTCTCTTGACTACAAGACACAAAACATGCCCCCAACTGTAGAAATTCAGTGCTTTGATCCTAAGATTGTTGAAGCCCAGAGGTGTGTAATAGCATCGCTGAACAAGTTGATTTTAAAAAGTTACTGAAACAACTTATACCAGTACACTACACATGATCATTGTATATAAAATTAAACAGCAATTGCCAGTATTTTAACTTGGAATTCCTTAACTAGAACCACTGGAAGAAGTGATGAACAGGCTGAAGACTGTGGAGAACTCTTTCAAAGCCAAGTAACAGGAGTGAAATACACATTTTTCTTTAATTTCTATAAATGAAGACTTTAGTTTGATGCATGGTGTTGAGTTTCCTGATCAGGTAATTAGACACTGTCATTTTGTATATTTTATGGATGGTATGGTATTTACACAAAACTGGCATTGGGAAAATGATTAGTGCCTCATCCCCTTCTGAAACAAACTAAGACCTTTTTACCATGTGTTGGTAAGTTGGCAGTTATATATTTTAACTAATAAAAACATGCAACTCTAGCAATGTTTGATCAGAAATATATACGACTCACTTCCACTTCACAGATAATGATCTAATCTCGAGAATTTTAAAGTTTTTTTTAAAAGACTGCTATTATAGCTCAGCATCATTGAAACATGCATACTTAATGGATATTGCTAGGATTGTTGCAAAAATAATTCAGGACTGTTTGTGTTTTGCTGCAGAAAGCTATTCTTTTAATCGTCCTTCCCACTAGTTGAATGTTAAAACAAATAAAAACAGGAGTTAACCAAATGTGTAAGTTTGTGTTTTTCCATTTCTCACCTTTTATTAGCCCCACGAAGAAACCTTGCCAACAGATCATTTTGAAATACTTTCTATATTTCTTCTGCCCATTTAAGATAAAAACAGCAACACAGAATGAATCAGTTACAATAAATCTAAGACAGAGTAGCACCTTCAAAATGTGATTTCTACCATTTAAATTTTCAATGTTTCCAAAACATTTTGAATGAAGGGCTCCAAATAACCAACTTCTATCTAAATTATACTATAATTCTAATATCATTGCATATAGAATGACAATTAGATGTAGATTCAGTTTAAGTGAGCTCAAAAACAAGTGGCAGCAAACAATGGAGGGAATTGTTTAAGATACCAAATTGTGGGACTAATTAGATGAATTCCTGGATTGTGTATGAAAAGGGTTTCTGAAGCAGTATACTGAGCAGCCAACTAGGCATCAGGTTACAAAAACAGGAATTGCTGTAAGAACTGAGCAGGTCTGGCATTTATGGTGAGAAAGCAGAGTTAATGTTTCAGGTCCAGTGAGTTTTGCCAGCAATTTCTGTTTTTGTTTCTGATTTCCAGCATTCACAGTTCTTCAGTTCTTTGTTTAGGGATCAGGTTAATTTAGATTTAGCACTGTGTAATGGGACAGGGCACAAACACCAAAAGGAAAAGATAAACCAACCATAGTTAATGGAAGTTCAATATTGCATTAGATAAAAGGAAGTAGATAATAGCAGAAAAAGTGGTAAACTGGAAGACGGGGAGCAATTTAGAATCAGACAAAGGAGGACCAAGAATCTGATTAAAGGTAAACAAAATACAAGTGCAAACCAGCAAAGGAGATAAAGATGGATTGTAAAATCTTCATTCAGTATGTGAACGAACAGATTAGCTGGGACAAATGTGGGCTCCAAGGAGATGAACCGAAGGGTCTACTTCCATGCCATACACCTCTATAACAGGAAAACTAAAGTTACTTTACATCTATCGCAAGAAACATGATATAGAAGACACGGAAACAAGAAATGACCAAGCAACCCTTGAAGAACAAAAATAAGTTAGCATTAGTAAAGACACAGTATTTGAAAATCTTGATAAATCCCCAGGCTGGATGAGTTTTGAATGGCTAGAGACTGTGTTTACATGGATGGCTATCTTTCTAAACTCCAGATTATCAAAAGTTTCCTCCACATAGAAAATAGCAGCTATAACCCCCATTATTTTAAGAAGGGACAGAGGAAGAATGGACAATAGACCTTTTGGTTTGATGTCAGGAGGGAAAAAAGCCAGAATTTATTAAAAAGCATATGATAACTGTGAACTCTTAGAAAAGAATTCTAAAATTGGACAGACATGGATTTAATGAAAATCATGTTTGACAGATTCTAAGAGTTTTTTTTGAGGATATTACTTTGACATAGTCAAAGGAGAAGTAATGGATTTGTTAATTTGCATTTTCAGAAGGCTATTGATGTAGTCTGACACAGTAGGCTACCAAATAAAATTAGAGTGCATAGGAATGGGGATATACAAGAGTATGGATTGAGTTATGATTGATAGACAAATAGCAGGAATAAACTAACTTTCACTAGTGGACATACTTGTTTGCACCTTAGATGTTCACAATCTATATAAATGCTTTGGACCATGGGAACCAATTAAAATATTACCAGATTTGTTGATAACACCAAACTGGGTGGGGAAACACAAATAGTGAGGAAGATTTCAACAGGTATTGGACAAGCTCATTGATTGGCCTGGTGTACGGCAGATGGAATGTAATATAAATAACTTCTCACTTACTTTGGTAGAAAAAAGCATTTGTATTAAATGGTGAGTGTGGGGGAAGTGCAAGTATCCAAACAGACCTGAGTGTTTCTTTCCAAGAGTTACTAAATTTTAGTATTCGGGAGCGGCAAGCAAATGATATGTTGGTCTTCACAGCAAAGGAATGAGCTCACAGGAGTAAAGATGTCTTGCTGCAGATATATAAAGCTTTAGTGAGATCTTGCATTAAGTATCAAGCACATGTATATTCCTCCTTAGATAAGAAGATATATTTGCCACAGTGGGAGTGCAACAGAGGCTCAGCAGACAAAGAACAAGAGGTTCTTCAATAGTTTTAGGCTAGGGGTGGCAGATTTAAGAAACAAGGAGCAATTACTTCACTCAAATAGTTGTGAATCTGTGGAATTCACTACTCCAGAGTATGATGCAGGCTAGTAAACTGAATAAAAATCTTAGTGAAAGATTTAACAGGTGCAACAGGCTGACTAGCCTACTCCAACTCCTAATTTATATGGTCATATGTACAAGATGTCAGTTAGCTCAGTAGTACAATCTCCAAACAATTTATTCTCACATCCAGAATCACCGTGAGGCAAAAAACAAGTAACATACCACAATTAAGTACCAATCAAATACTCAGCTGGACCTTAAATGCTGCAAAATAAAACTCATTTCAACCTGGTCAGCCAAAACTTTCAAAGTCCAAATGCACTACCATACCATGGCAGTCACCTCTTCTACAAAGGCCTCCTTAAACCAACAGCAGTCTTAAAAATAGTCATCTAGTATTGTCACTACCACATTCCTGCACTACAGGGAGACCTAGACTGTGATTCAGCAGATAAATTTCATTAGCAGTGCCTTCAACATCACCTCCTGATCTATGGGACCCTGTACAAACACTAGTGGTCCTTTCAGAAATCAGGACCACCAAGCCTGAAAGTTGTCTTCCTGTCTTATTTTCACAACAATCAAATGGCCAATGTTCCAAAATCAACGAAAACTTCAGACACTCAATCTCTCCTTGAAATGCAGCAGCACTGACCTAAATGCTGGCAGGAGCATGGTACCAATCACTCAGATTGGCAGCAACTTGTCCAAAAAGCTGCATCACACTTCAAATCCTCATCACTAAAGTCAGTTTCAAAGGTGGTGAGCAAGCTTGTATAATTGAAAAATATACCAGATCTACAGGAATTCTGCAAATATATGGTTAAGGGGATAGGAATTTGTGTAAATACAGTACTAAATGGAACTGAATGAACCCAATTTTAGTCAGCAAGATATAACAAACATTTCCAACCTCTGCCAAATGCAAATTCATGATCAAGATCAGTCACCCATGCTGCAAATATTAAACCTACTGTTGCTACTAACAATTCTTGCCAGTTTTAACACAATACACATTTAGCTGGGCAATGATTGATGTTAGGGCAAACACACTGACAGATTATAGCAATTACTCAATGTTTATGCTAGTTACAGTTTAAATCTTAAACTTCCCTCAATGCAATGCATCAAGAAAACTTGACCACTGTTGAAACGGAAACAAAAACCTGTCGTGCAACATTAGCAACTAAACCTTTTTTTTAAAACAAAGTTAAGTACAGTACCAAACATGATTCTTAGGAACAGCTTTAAATCCTCCCAGACTTAAAAATTTGCTCATCGGATGGGGCAACTGGTTAAGACAACATTTATTGTCCATCCCCATTGTAGGAACAATTTCCAAGGGCATTCTGTCGGATTCCTGTTGATTTGGACCTCAAGACTATACTCCCTTTTACTGTCACCCAATCACAATCTCTAAAATACCTGAATCAATTGGAAATTCAGTATAGGGGAATGTAGTTGTTCCAGATTTCCATCATTATATCAACTGTTTCCTGATTTTACTCTTAAATCAACTCACTTTATAATAAGGCCCACTGTTTACCATTCAAGTTACCATTAAAGCAGATCAATCCCCAACTGAAATGTTCTATACAACTTTTACATTACAGAAAAACATGATTACATGTCCAAATAGATAAATTAACTTGTTAACATCCAAAGTGTTATGCTGGGCATTTAAATTAAAAACAAAAGCAAGTGGCTTTTTAACAGAATAACTTTATTTGTAAAACATTTCAGAGTTGAAGCCAAGTTTACTTCTCACTGATTTGTTCTGGCATGCTCCTGATGATGTCAGAATCACCTGAAAAGAAAAGTTAATTCAGTTTAGTCAAAGCAAATTTCACTGCATAATTATGGAGGACTATACTGTTATCTTTCAGAGAGTCAGCTGAATGAAGTCAACCTTTACACATTTTCATAGGCATGTTATGTGACAGTTGAATAAAAGCTTATCGGCAACGTTCAACCACAGGGTGTAAAAAGAAATGCTGCCAATATGGAAACAAAAATCGATAAGAAGGGGAAGTGGTAAGTGTGGAGCTGGAGGAACACAGCAGGCCAGGCAGCATCAGAGGAGCAGGGAAGTTGACGTTTCGGGTCGGGACCCTTCTTCAGACAATGCAGAAGGGTCCCGATCAAAAATGTCAAATTTTCCTGCTCCTCTAATGCTGCCTGGCCTGCTGAGTTCCTCCAGCTCCACACTGTTATCTCTGACTCCAGCATCGGCAGTTCTTACCATCTCTGAGGAAGGGGAACTGAATTGCTTTATGGATTTGAGGAAGGTATGTAGTAGGGTTGGTAATAGGACACTGCTTTTATTTGATTAATGACTAAATTAATGACAAACTTGGATGTGCAGGGCACAAATTCAAAATGAACAAATGACAATACTTGGCAGGATTGTGAAGTAAGAAATCAAATGATAAATTTCAAGGAGACATATGCTGGTGTACTAGGTCTGGACACAAGGCCGATTAAGTTTAATGCAAACAATATGTTACTAGGAATTATGCAAAATAAGAGTAGATGGATCTAAGGGTATATTCCATTAATCAAAGGTAGCAAATATTAGTCTCTAAATATGGACACAGCAAAGTTAGTTATGAAGAATTTCAAGAATTTCCAGCCATCATCGGGATACAACTGGTAGGAGAGTGTGGCCGACAGTCAGCATTTATTGTCTATCCCTAACCGCTTTCAAGGATGTGGCGACAGAATTTTTTTTGAACCAACAGAGACCATCTCTCCAGCTTCACCCACAATGTGTCTCAAAATACTTGTACCTATGAAATGCACATCAGCCCTGCAAGAGTACGGGCGTACAAGTACTTCTTGTATTTTACCAAGCACAAGAATGGAAAAGGGTGCTCTTCTAAGAGCTGAAGATTCACAATCTCAGCCACAGAAACCATGACAAACAGGCATTTGCAGGTATCATGGCCAAATCAAAGCAACCACTCAAAGCAATGTCAATGATGTAAATTACTATACACTCTAGTTACAATTTAAAATGTGCTATCGCATACCGCTCAGAACAAAACACTGCCACAGCTGAGACACGACAGGAACGTTACAGAATGTAAAAGCTGTCGCTGGCAAATATTACCACAAGACTTGATGAAATAGGCTTGTGGACAATAAGCACAGCATTAATCTAGCGAATGTCTAGCCTGACTTGATTGGAGACAAAAATCAAGACAGCGAGAATATTCGCACTAGAAGTAAATTATTGTAGATACTTAAGTATTATTAGCGGCTAAGAATACAAGTTGCTGTACCACTCACTCTCACACTGCAGATACACAATATATAGCAATCAACATTCAAACCCCATTGCCACTTCCACTAACAATTAAAGCACAAACATAATGAGAGGTACATTGTACCATGTTTCTCTTACTACAATAACAAAAATTCAACATGCTTTACTCTCAATGCACTTTGGCAGTGGCTCACACCCAGAAGTGGTATACTTTCAGAAGAACTTACCAGGATCAATGATAGCCAGTGTACACACTCTGTAGTATTTACCACAAGCTGTACCTAGTTCAATGTTATTGCCACTGTAATGGTGCACTCCAGTCTTGGCTAACATAGCATAATACTCAATCTCCGACTTCCTGAAATAAATACAATTCACCATTAAAACAGTATCATTACAATCTTGCATTTTAATTAAGTCAAGACCAACTATGACAACAGCCAACTGGTCCAATGCAAAACAGGGCTCTCCAAACATGGACATGAGCATCGGGACAAAAAAAAAGGTTTTACATTACTAAGGACATTCATCTGGTGACTTGTAATTCAGTTTATGAATGAAATAAGGAAACCTGACCATTACCACGATGGCCTAATTGTATCAATGTGATCCTCCAGTCAGCGAAGAGGTTATGAAGAACACAAATGGATCAATTTGAAGCCTTAACACTATCAAAGACAATCTTATGCAAACATAGACTAAGTTTAACACTAACTAGGTACTGTAAGTAACATGTTAAAACCGATTGTGGCTTAAGCAGCCATTGTCAACTAGTACACTAAGTATACTCAATGGTTACAAGTCACAAAAGAAAAGCACAAAACCTGAGCTTAAAAACTTCACTCTTGGGATTAAAATATTGCTGTTAAGGTCAGAATTTACCACCTGTTCCTAACTGCCCCATACCATCTCCAAGTGCATAACTTGCTAGGTCATTTCACAGGGCAAATATATACCTGGGGCCGTGAGATGAGGCAAGGACAGTAGATTTTCTTCCTTGGGGATTCAGTGAATAGGAAGGGTTACAGGGTTTCATGATTGAGATGATTTTTCATTTGTAGACTAGTGGATCCAAGTCGTCTAGCTGCTGTGGTGGAATTTGGACTCATTCACTTGGGAGCCGTAGCCTGGACCTCCGGAGAATTTGCGTGCTAAGCTTGACACAAATCCCAAATTCCACCCATTTCTGATATAATATAAAAAACTTCAGGTTGCTACTCGTTTTTGTTCTAATGTGAAGATCAGTTCCTCTAGTAATTGACCCCGTTGCCACTGGAAGCCACTTCCATCCTGTACAGAGCCCTGATGTTGAGAACTTCTATGAAAATCATCTTTCAATTTTCTTACAGACATGCATGGAAGATAGTCTTGCAGACAGCAGGCAAGGACAAGCTGACTGGTCTCATTCTGTGCTGCAACCATTCTGTGATTAGTTACAACCAAAAGTGTATTATAGATTCATACAGCAGAGAAACAAGCCCTTTGGTTCAATTTGTCTGCACTGATCAGACACCCCAATCTGATCTAGTCCCATTTGCCAGCATGTGGCTCATATCCCTCTAAACCCTTCCTATCCACATATCCATCTAGATTCCTTTTAAATGCTGTAATTTTTCTGTTGCGCTACGAATGGGTTCAGCCTGATTAATATTCAATTTCCTGAATTTTCAGGGTGACAAATAGGTAAAAACCTATGCAAAAATTGACCTAAGTGATATTTATACACATTGCATAACAAAATAACTACGGCAATATTAGCAAAGAACATTATGGCCTCTCAAGTTGGACTACAGATTTAAGTAGAAAATATATATTTAATCTTTTTCCAGTTGGAGAAATACAGCAAGTTCAAGCTGTATTTTGCAGTTCATTTTACAAAAATCTCTCCTTACCTCAATGCTGGACAATTGTTGGCAAGGATAACTAGCTTGGCTTTGCCTTGACGAATCATTTTCAAAGTCTGTTTGTAGCCCAGCACATATTTGCCACTTTTCATAACCAGCTGGAGCCTGGAGTTGATGGACTCCAAAGACTTTTTCTGCAGTCAAAAAAAAAGTCCGTTTTTAAAAAGTCTGCAAATGCAACAAAACAATGAACTCTAAATATATCAGAGATAGTAGGAACTGCAGATGCTGGAGAATCCAAGACAACAAGGTGCAGGGCTGGATGAACACAGCAGGCCAAGCAGCATCATAGGAGCAGAGAGGCTGACGTTTCGGGCCTAGACCCTTC